GCCGCAGCTCCTGCCGCTCCCGCGCCGCTCCCGCCTGGCTCTCGGCCAGCCGCAGGTTGGCCCCCAGGTTCAGGCAGGCGGCGTGGGCGGCGCGGCTCGCCCGGGACACCTCGTGCCCCAGCTCCGACAGGTCCCTGCGGCAGGGGGAGATGCGGGGGATGGAGCTGGAGGCCCTCGGGAACCCCCAGGAATCCTCCTCCCGCAGGGATCCCCCGCTGACCTCTCGGTGCTGGATTTCATGTCCCCGAAGTGCCGCCGGAAAGCCACCACCTGCCTCCAGAGGGTCAGGAGCCGGCTGTGCTCCGTGCTGAAGTAGGTGTTGAAGGACTGCGGGTGGGTGGGTGGAGGGGGGGGTCGGTGCCCGCTGGGGGACCCACCACGCTCCCCAAATTCCCAAATATCCCCCCCCGGCCACGCTCATCACCCCGCAGTGCCTCGCCTTCCCCCGTCCCAATTCCCTTGGGCACGGAGGGGGATGGGGACACATCCCCCTGCCTGGCGTCCCCTTCCCATCGTGTCCCATGTCCCCTGTACCCCACATTCTTCTCTGTGCAGGCCCCACACCCCTGCCAGTGGTCCTGTATCATTTTCCATGATGCATCCCTGCATCCTCCTGCCTCACAGCCCCTTCCCATGACACGTCCCAACCCCAGGTTCTTCTCCAGGCAACATCCCACACGACCCTGCATCCCTCCTGGTGGCCCTGGACACTTTCCATGGTGTTCCCTCTGACTCATATTCCCTTCCCACCACAAGCCACATCCCCTGCACCCCCAAAATCTTCTCCATGCAACATCTCCATGGTCCTGTGCCCCTCCTGGTGGTCCTGCATCCCTTTCCATGTCACAGCCCTCCTGGTCCCCCATCCCTCCTGCTGGTCCTGCATCCCATTCCATGACACATCCCTGCATTGTATCCCCTTCCCATCACGTGCCACATACCCTGTACTCCCAAATTCTCCATGTAACATCCCACATGACCCTGCATCCCTCACGATGCTCCTGGACACTTTCCATGGTGTTCCCTCTGACTCATATTCCCTTCCCATCCCGTGCCACCTCCCCTGCACCCCCAAATTTTCCTTGCCACATCCCCCGTGGTCCCACATCCCTCCTGCTGGTTCTGTGACACATCCCTGCACTACATCCCCTTCCCATCACGTGCCACATCCCCCGCACTCCCAAACAGAACGTCCCGCAAGACGTACCAGATCCCCGTCCGTGATCCCACATCCCTTCCCGAGCCTCATCGCCACATCCCTCTGCCTCACACCCCTCCCTGATGGATCCCTAACCCTCCCCCCGCATCCCAGGGCCCCCCAGACCTCCTCCTCGCGCCTCCACTCGGCCTCCCTCTGCTCCAGCTCATCCCGTGTCCGCGCCCAGTCCGCCGTCAGCTTCCGGATGTCCTCGCTCAGCGCCGCGTTGGCCGCGTTGGCCTGTTCCAGCTGCTCCCTCAGCATGGAGTTCACCTGCACCAGGCTGCTGCTCCTGCCACGGGAGACACGGGCATGCATCCCACCGGGAATGCCCACACCTCCCCGGGGACCCCCGCTCTGCTGCTCCTGGGATGGGGATGGCGGGGATGGATGGACGGACGGAACTCCCACGTCTGCCCCGGGGATCCTGCTCACCCCTGGTGCTCCTGGGATGGGGGGGGTCACCGTGTCTGGAGCATCCCCCTCCCGGGAATCCCCCCATCCCTCCAGGGATCCCCCTCACCTCTGCTGCTCCTCTTCCAGCCGGATCAGGGCGTTCTCCAGCTCGTTGCTGCTCTCCTCCTCTGGCTGGGAGCCGCTGGCATCCAGCTGGATCTGGGGGAACATCCCGCTCGCCACCACCTCGATTTGGGGGAGTTTTGGGGCAGGAGACCCCCCCAGGCCCCTCCCTCACCGTCAGCCTCTCCTGCTCCAGCTCTGTCGCCTTCTCCAGCAGCTGCTGCTCCACTTCCCCGCATTTCTTCTTGTACTGCAGCACCTGCCAGGGGGAAGTGGGGTGGTAACACCCTGGGGGGCTCCCGGATTGTCCCTGCTCCCCCCCCGGCAAGGATTTACCTTGGCCTGGAGCTTCTGCACGAGCTGGGCCTGTCTCTGCTGCCCCTCCTGGTAGGCCTGGAGCTTCCGCTTGTAGGCGGCTTGTTCCTCCTCCAGCAGCCTCCGCAGCTCGATGTTGTGCTGCGCCAGGCTCCGGCTCTCGGCCGCTTCCCGCTCTCCCGCCTCCATCCGCAGGGATTGCTCCAGCTGGGAGAGGGGTGGGACACGGGGCTGGCACCCCCCGGAGCAATCCCGGGCGTCCCAGAAAAGCCAGGGGGGTCCCACAGCAAATCCTGGAGAGACACAGCCAAGCCCCCCCAAATCCCACCTTCCCCCCCCAAATCCCACTTCCCCCCCCAAATC